GGGAAAAATAACACCCAGGGATCAAGATCCCTCCGCGACGCGACGCGGAGGGATCAGTAATTTTTAGTGAATTACTGAGTTTAGGCACGTTAATAACATTTTAATGAAGTTGAATACAGTATATTCATATTTGTCAGTGATTTCATGTCAATTCGGCGAACATAAACGATTAAATTAGGATTAAAAATCGAGAGCCGGCTGCTGTTCGTTTTTTTCGACTAAACAACATTATTTTGTTAAATAACAACATGGTGATGTTTTGTAAATGATTACATGTCTTATTTAGCACAGACTATGATCCTATCCGTGACATATGGATCTTAACAAAGATCCGCTATACATTAGTACCAGACATACTGTACAAGACTCCACACATGACTCCAGTGTGGAACCCCACTGCACCCCCTGGTGGATCAATGATCCATTGCAGCTGGCTTCACAATAATTACATTTATTTATCACGGGGGCGGTATCAAGTCAGACTGGGGGCCGGCCGGCCATCACGGAACGTGCACGAACCGATCACGACCCTCGCATTTTAAACTGTCCAAAACTGTGAAACCACATTTCAAAGAAATCTGAACCAACCCTGTGCTAATGATAGATGCAGAGAGGGAGGGGGGGTACACAGATAGAGAGAGAGAGATAGAGCGATAGAGCGATAGAGAGATAGATAGATTGATAGATAGATAGATAGATAGATGGATAGATGGATAGATAGGCTAGATAGGCTAGATATATATATATATATATATATATATATATATAGCCAGGGGTTAAATTGGGCCGGGGCTGTCCGGGGCTAAGCCCCGGCACATAGGAAAAGCTCTGACGTCATCACCCTCGCATATTTTTAACAATGTATGCAGCATGCCTATATCATATGTTTACACAAAAAAGATATACATGTTAAAACTTTTCTTTCTATATGTTTAAGGTTCTTAATAATTCGAAAAATCAATAAAACACTCTTTCTAGCAGTAGGGAGCATAAATAAGAAGACGCGACGATGACTTGCACTTTTCAAATTTTTCGCGGGGTTCCCCCTTATTTATTTTCTTCAAATAAACTTTGCTGATCGGCGACCACACAGTCTCTTCCGTCAGTCACACAGACAGCCAGCAGTGACAGGTGAATCCGGGAAAGGTGTGGAGAAAAATAGGTAATACGCTGACAGGTTTCTTAACATGAATTGCTCTGATATTCTACTTTTACGTTCGACTACCATTAAGTTAAATAACGTTTTTTTGTTTGACTAACTTTTGATCAAATCAAGCGTTTCTTAAACTAAGAGAAAGACACCAGCCAGTGGTCGATATTGTGGACTTTATTTTAGAATAGCAGATCTCTGCGACCAGCTATAGTTTGTCGGCTTAGTGTCAGTGAACGTGTGTCTCTGCTCCGATCGTGAGCTACACTGCAGCACCTCCCGCGGGACTCTGCTGCGGTTCCTCCGTGCAGAGCGCCCGTTTCCTAAACCATGATGTACAGTGGAGATTAAACTGTTCATTACCTTATAAAAGCAAATACTGTTTATGTTTTTTAATTAAATTGTCACTTAAAGTTACTAAAACAAATACTAAAAATGAAAAAAACTACTGAAACACAGGACTGTAACTTAAATTGACCAAAACAAATACCAATTACTGTATTATATGTTTATTTTACAAAATTACTTTATACTGTCTTTGTCAATTTAACCTGCTTTTATTGTGCCCCTCTCATGAAATAACTGGCCCCAGCCTGATGCTATGTATGTGTGTGCATAAAGCTGAGATATGCATATATGTATTTCCTTTCTCTTTGAAAGTTTCAGAGGTTAAAGTGAGGCATGATGCAGAAATGAGAAATGAGTGAAGCAAAAAAGAGGAAACTTACAGACTTCTTTAAAAGGTATGCAAGACATCACTGCTGCTTAGCGTGTCAAAGCCATTTGTATCTTTTATTTATTCACCATAAGTTCCTTTGTTAATTATCCTGCATTTAAATGCAGAGTTGAGCAGAACAAGGCAGGTGATGGGCGAGCAGGGAAGCTTGGAAAAGAGAGAGGATCAGAGCAGCGTAAAGAAGGGAAGGGAGTGGAGGAACGAGAGGAGAGGAGAGGAGTAGAGCAGGCTGAGGAGAGGAGAGCAGAGCAGCCTGAGGAGGACAGAGGAGCAGGGCAGTTTGAGGAGGACAGAGGAGCAGGGCAGCCTGAGGAGAGCAGAGCAGAGCAGCCTGAGGAGGACAGAGGGGCAGGGCAGCCTGAAGAGAGCAGAGCAGGGCAGTTTGAGGAGGACAGAGGAGCAGAGCAGGGAAGCAGTGTAGGAAAGGCTGACAACTTGCCTGACTGCTGGAATCAAAGTCAATTTGAATATTTCACACAGAAATATCCATTTCTAATAATTGGAAATAAAAAAATAGGATGCAAATCATGCAGGGAAGCGGGATCCCTTGGGGCAATGAGAACAGGGAAACAGAGGTACTCATTCTCTACTGAATGGCAGAACTGTAGGGTAGGCCCATATGGCAACAGCAATGAGAAGCAAATGAAATCTTTGAGAAAGAAAATAAATGAACATAGTGTCTCACAGAGTCACAAATTAGCACAGGACATAGTAAAAAGACAAAATGAAGAAGCTTTAAAATCAAGCTTTCTAAAAACTCAAAAAGACATTTTGGCTTCCACCCATAATGTCTTTCGAACGGCATACTACATTGCAAAAAATAACCGGCCATACTCTGATCATCCTGGACTAATAGAACTACAAATGATAAATGGTGTAAATGTTGGCCGCGTACTCCACTCAAATGTTACATGTACAGACATTGTACATTTTATCTCAAAAGAAATGAGGGAAGCCCTATTGGCAAGTATCAAAGTGACCCGACCAAAGCTAACTGTTCTTGTGGATGAAAGCACATCATTAAGCAAGAAGTCTTGTCTTATTGTGTACCTAAGAACGTCAGTTGATAGCTCAGAGCCAGTGACCTTCTTCCTAGATCTTCTCGAGCTAGAGAGTACAACTGCAGATGGAATCATTAGTCAACTACTGAACTGTCTACAGAAATATGGTCTTGATGATGCTTTTCTGAAAGAATGTCTGGTGGGATTCTGCTCAGATGGAGCCTCCGTAATGGTAGGCAGAAAGAATGGTGTCTACACAAAACTGAGAAGTAAGTACCCAGGCCTCATAGGCTGGCATTGTCTAAACCATAGGTTGGAGTTGTCTGTGTCAGATGCAGTCAAGCACTGCACCGAAACCAACCACTTCACAGCTTTTCTTGACAAGCTATACTGTCTCTATCATCAGTCACCAAAGAACTTAAGAGAGCTTGATGCTGCAGTCTCTGAAGTAGGTGTATGCTTGAGGAAGATTGGTCGCGTCCTCGGGATAAGGTGGGTGGCTTCATCTTTTAGGACAGTAAATGCTGTTTGGACCATGTATGCTGCACTCTATCATCACCTCACATCTGCAAGTGTAGATGTGAACCGTTCCTCAAATGATAGATGCATGTATGAGGGGCTAGCAGCAAAGCTGACGTCAGTTGCTTTTGTTAAAAACCTGGGACTGATGATGGATGCACTTGAGGAGCTGAAAGACCTGTCTGAGGCTCTACAGTCGAGAGACATTAGACTGTCTCAATCAGTAAATCTGATCAAAAGACAGCTAGATGTTTTTAAAACCATGAGCAGGAACCCAGACAGTGGTCTGTTCTACAAAATCGCATGTGAGGCAGAGCAGCAAGGTGTTTTTAATGGCATAACACTACGCAATGACCCAAGGCAGAAGATAATAGATCCCACAAAGTTTTATGCAGCACTATGCAAAAGCATGGAAACAAGGATGGTCACAAGTGAAGAGGAATCCCTCTTTCAAAAGGTCAATGTTCTTGATACAAAGACATGGCCAAGCCCTCTACCATTAATGTATGGTGAGTGTGAAATAAGAGAGCTATGCACTCTTTTGAAAATCGGATTCTCTGGTGTTAAGCAAAGTTATAGGGACTTTAAGGAGAATGCCAGTGTGCCGATGCACATGTCCCTTCTAAAGCTTAAGAATGCAGTGGAAACCATTGCTGTGAGCAGTGCAGAGTGTGAGAGGGGTTTCTCAGAAATGAATGCAGTTGTAACATCAATGCGCTCACAACTGAAAACTCAAAATGTCTCTGCTCTAATGTTCATTCAAATGGTTGGACCTCCTCTTACCTCTTGGGACCCCACGAAATATGTGAGGAAGTGGGTGGCTACCAGAAGGTCTGCAGACCATTTAGCCTGTAGACAAAGATGCACGACTACACAGGCTTCCCCCTATCAGCCCATCTGGGATTTGATGAAGTACACTCTTAGAAATGAAATATGGATGTTGTTTGCATTAATTGCTTTTTTTATATTGAAACTACTAAGTAAATGCACTTTTTACAATTAAATCAAGAGACTTTAATTGCATTTATGTAAAAGTTCAAAGTTTTGGGATTACATTACCATGTTGTGTTGTATTTAAATGGTAAAGTTATTTAAAACGCACTGATTGTCCCAAAGTGCTTGCCGTACTTTCTCAGCACATGCGCTGTAAGACCGGGGACATGTGTAATTTGAATCCTGTGACTGTGAGATGACAGAACCGCATTTTTTCCCTTTCCTGTGCCATCCTGCAATGTTATGGTAAGTTTCTTAAATATTAACATATATTAAACACAAACGGTCCCTGAAATACAAAAGTTGATGTGTATTTTTGATTTCCCTGCTACCAACTGTATACTTTGATGATAGATTTGAAAAGCGGTGCAGCCTAGCTAACAGCTAGCTTAACGGTCACTTTTTAATTATGTTCCCTTGCACTTAAAAGTGTTAGAATATGTCACAAAAGAGGTGACATTTCAAGCTTTGTCTGTATAAGTCAATCGTTATGTATTTAATGATTTTAGCTTGATCATAATAGTAATGTTAGCTCTTACCAAAAGTAAGTGGACACGTTTTTTCCCTCCTTTTTTTGAATTTTTTTTTTAAAATGTGCTTGATTTAAAGATTTGAGAGCCTGGTTGCAAACATCTCCAGTGCCAAAAAGGTCATAGTCGGTTAAGGTCTTCTAAGTCTATTAAAAATAACTTCATCAAGTGTAACGCCCTGAGGGAGGTTTTTTTGTTCAATTGTAAAGCTTATTTGGAAGAAATAAAAATCCCATCTGTGCACTGTACTGTTGCGTCAGCCGGAGCCGTGCCTGGTCGTTACGTTAATTATGTCGGCCAGGAATATCAAAGTGTGAATTATTTAAAGCATGTACAGGAACACACTCAACAAGCACATCTTCCATTAAGACAGCTCTTAAATAGACACGTAATTCACCCGAAAACGTGTTTCTTTATAATAATCAGAGAGAGAGAGCAAGATTAAATAGTGGCAGGTACTTCAGCCGCAGATGCCACTATTTGCTGAGACAACTGCGGCTGCTGAAGGGGTGTTACTCTGGGTGCTGAGCCAAGCGAATGTGTGTGGCAGTTGCCACTTACCTGCCGTGGCAACTGCTTGTGTTTAAACAGTTATTTATCGTGGAAAAGTATTTCCATGTTCTGCTACTCTGTAATTCTACTCAATTACATTTCAGTGGGAAATATTGTACTTTTACAACACTACATTTATTTGACACTTGTAGTTACCTTTTTAGATAATGTTTATATTCATATACATGTACTACTAATTTACTCAGTTCTTTCCAAAATATGCTCTATATTAACAAATCACAACATTAAAAAATCTTGTATATATGTAGATTTTTTATTATAAGAACATTCATTTTTATTCTATGATGCAACCCTTTTACAAAAGGCTTTCTGCACAAAGTACTTTTTCTTTTGATACTTTATTATATTTGGCTAATAACACGTTGGAACTTTACCTTAAGTATTATTTTGAACTTGGGACTATAGCAAGTAATGGAGTATTTATACTTTTACTTTAGTACAGGATCTGAGTACTTTTTCCACCACTGCTTAAGATCCAGTAATGGGTTGCTATATCCTGCACCTCACACCCTGAATTATGTTAATGGCTGCAATAATAGTTGTTATTTACAATACATTTGGATCATTAACACATTTCTCTTTTTCTCTAGGTTTTGAATGTGGAGATGCAAACAATGTACTGAGACTCAATCTACAAGGTACCAATTACTGAAGCACTATAAATTAAAACACGGCCATTTTGGTCAGAGACACCCATATCCATGCACATACTATGAATGCCCATGCTCTTTCAAAACATGGAATGCTCTTAAAACACATTTAAGTAGATGTCATGTTGAATCTTTACCTGTATTAAGTGCAGAGCTATTTTAATAGATGCACATGTATAAGAAAAGAACCTCAGCTGAAATTCTTTGTTTGGTTTACACCAGTAGATGTCCTGTCCTTTCTGCTATGACACTTGATGGATATTATTAGCTTTAAACAAAACATTTGAACCTGTATCACAATGTGTTGCAGGTAAACGCAGAATTCACCCGCATCACCACCGTTCCGCTGCTGCCTACCTTCATGTCTCAACTGGATCGCCATTCGTCTCAGTTGATGAAGGTTTTCAAAAAGAAGGGGGGAACAGCAGGACGCAATTTGGGCCTGATCATGGCAGCCATGGACAAGGTATGTAGTTGTAATAAATTGTGTAGTTTGGGCACTGCAACACCATATTCTCTTTATCTCTCTCTCTTGTTGTCCCTCTCATATAAATATATTTTAACCTCTCTGACCCCCTTTCTTTGACTTGCCAAAAATCAGCACACAAGCATAATCAGTATTCTTGTGTGAAGATTTTGAAAATGTGTTTGTCCCTCAGGATCCCACAGTTGAAACACGACGGGACTGTGTCCTTAAAGCGCTCTGCGTCTACTTGAATGAAAGTTCCGAGAGCTTCATAAAGGAATATTTGGTAAGTTGAAACATAGCCAAACACAGATATATATATATATATATATATATACACCTGAACATCAGCAGGAGAGGACTCTTTAAAGTAGAGACACTACATACTGATATACACCTGAACATCAGCAGGAGAGGACTCTTTAAAGTAGAGACACTACATACTGATGTACACCTGAACATCAGCAGGAGAGGACTCTTTAAAGTAGAGACACTACATACTGATATACACCTGAACATCAGCAGGAGAGGACTCTTTAAAGTAGAGACACTACATACTGATATACACCTGAACATCAGCAGGAGAGGACTCTTTAAAGTAGAGACACTACATACTGATATACACCTGAACATCAGCAGGAGAGGACTCTTTAAAGTAGAGACACTACATACTGATATACACCTGAACATCAGCAGGAGAGGACTCTTTAAAGTAGAGACACTACATACTGATATACACCTGAACATCAGCAGGAGAGGACTCTTTAAAGCAGAGACACTACATACTGATATACACCTGATCATCAGCAGGAGAGGACTCTTTAAAGTAGAGACACTACATACTGATATACACCTGAACATCAGCAGGAGAGGACTCTTTAAAGTAGAGACACTACATACTGATATACACCTGAACATCAGCAGGAGAGGACTCTTTAAAGTAGAGACACTACATACTGATATACACCTGATCATCAGCAGGAGAGGACTCTTTAAAGTAGAGACACTACATACTGATATACACCTGAACATCAGCAGGAGAGGACTCTTTAAAGTAGAGACACTACATACTGATATACACCTGAACATCAGCAGGAGAGGACTCTTTAAAGTAGAGACACTACATACTGATATACACCTGATCATCAGCAGGAGAGGACTCTTTAAAGTAGAGACACTACATACTGATATACACCTGAACATCAGCAGGAGAGGACTCTTTAAAGTAGAGACACTACATACTGATATACACCTGAACATCAGCAGGAGAGGACTCTTTAAAGTAGAGACACTCCATACTAATTTGAACCTGAACATTTGCATAATATGTCCTCTTTAAATAAAAATAATTGAATTTGTTTTTTATTCAAAGTATTTGCTGCTACTTTGGTTATATTGTTCATGTACATTTACAACTACATGTATTTATTTACAATGGATCCAATAAAAGGATTTGCTCATTTGTTTCATATTATAAAATGATGTGTGTCAGGGTTCTCATACTGATAATCATGAATACTATGTTCTAATCCCACTTTAGGATGTTGAACTTGCAACAACCCAAATGGAGCCAATGGTATTGGGACTCTATCTCGTGAAACACGAAGGAGCAGAACCCGGGCGTCATCATCGAGGGTGTTGGAGTGCTGCGAGAGCTGAAATACTTGGCAAATGGATGGGCAGTATTGCTTGGACTGATTTACAGCCTCAATCTGAGCTACCGCAAGGACCTGAAACATACATTTGAATTCATTCAAAAAGTATTGATGGGGTTGGATGGCAACAGACTGTCAACCAAGGTGCAGGTTCTGAAAAACAGATTACAAGAGTAATCCCAAGGACAAAATACTGTGACAGAGATAACGTCCAGTTCATTTCCATCTCGGTACATTCTCTCACACACACACCACACCACACCACACCACACCACACCACACCACACACACCACACACACACACACACACACACACCACACACACACACACCACACCACACACACACACACACACACACACACACACACACACACACACACACACACACACACACACACACACACACACACACACACACACACACACACACACACACACACACACACACACAGAGAGACACCACAAACACAGAGACACACACAGACACACACCATACACAGAGAGACACACCACACACACACACACACACACACAGAGAGAGACACCACAAACACAGAGACACACACAGACACACACCACACACAGAGAGACACACCACACACACAGACACTCACAATTGTATTTCTGCTTTTGAAAGTTCAAGACATATGTTCATGTGTATAACAGAGGCAAAGATCTACTGTAACACATTATGTGCTTGAGCAATATTATGTGATGCGTTTCATCTAAGTGTTTGGAAAGACATAAAAACACCATACTTCATAGTAAAGTTGCATTTTATAAAATGTTCAGATAATAAGTCATTATTGTAGCTTTTCAGCCCACATGTTAACTTCTTGAGTCACTCGTGTTTCTCATCACTGTCAAGTTCAGCAGCTGTCATGGGTTTTTTACGCAAAGAGCTTTAAAATTCTAATATGTGCACCTACCACAAATGGGCTGTTGGAGTTAAGTGTTTTTTTGTTGTTGAATTGTTGTGGCAATTCAGATGGTTGTTTGCAAAATGCAATGTTATAAGTGTAAAATGAACATTTAAAATAAAGTGAGCGGAATACAAATTACTGAGTTGGAGTCATTTGAATTACTTATATTGATAGAGCAATTTGGATTAAATGATGTTAAGTGCAAATAACACAATCCTACAACATAAATGGAACTAATTTGTGTTAAGTAATTACAACCTAACTGTGTTAGGTAAATCAGTGCAAACTTTAAGTAAATACAACATAATTGTGTTCAGTAAAAACAACAATTTAAGTAAATTCAACATAACTGTGTTAAGCAAATACAACATAACTGTATGATGTAGCATTTAATTAAGATGCTTTTGTAAGATTTACTTAAATGCAAGAAGTAAATATTAGTTTACTAGTCTGTTTCCTATTTACTTAGCCTTGTTACGTGCAGCCGGTTGACATAACTAGATTAAGTAAATCTAACATATCATTTCTTTGAGTGTAGCTGGTCGTACATACAGTAATGTTGTTGAACTGCTTATATTGATGTGGACTTTCATTCCTCAATCAGTTCAGATAGGGTAATGTCTCTGTACTCATATCGTTTTTTTTTAATGTTCTTGAGTAAGTGTGCAGAGAAATGTTGACTTAAAATGGCAATTTGAAGGTCTGTAATTTGTGAAAAATGTTTGTGTATATATTAATAGTTTCAAATGTAAATTCATTCCAGTTAAATAATACTAATAAAAAGACGGTCTAATTAACATACTTTCTATGTTTACTGTCTCGATTGGTGGCATCAAATAGTGCATCGATTGGTGGCATCAAATAGTGCATCTGATACAGGAGCAGTTGCTTTAGGATTGGGCCTCATATATAGCCCGCTATCCCGCAACCCCCCCCCCCCCCCCCAAAAAAAACAGCCCCCCCACATGTCAAATCCCAATTTAACCCCTGTATATAGCCTATATATAGCCTAGTACCTGTCATTAGTGAGTAGTAGTTGGGGTAAGATAGACTGGGGAAGTCCGGGGTCATGTAGTCCACCTTCACCCCGCTGCTCGCGAGCTCTCGGAATCCGGGGAGCGCGCCCAGGTCGTCCATGTAGTCATAGCGGAATCCGTCGATCAGGAACACGAGCAGCGGCCGGGTCGCGAGGCTCTGCTGTCCCGCAAGCAGCAGCAGCAGCAGCGGGGGGAGCAGGAGGGTTAGGCGGGGGGAGACAGGTCTGAGTCCCGGGGACATGCTGAGCTGTGGGACGGGTCTCAGCCGCTGCTTCAACCTGGAAATGACCGCGCAGCGTTATGCCGCAGACATGCACAGTGCTGGGGGGCAGAGGAGGGTGGAGTTACATCGGGACTCCCGAACACTTGATTCATGGGGGGCGTGATTTGGCAGAACGTAGTCAGTGAACCCCGTGACCGTCCTGTGTGAGTGCGCGTGCATGATAAAGATGGCTAGTGTATAATGGATAATCATTCACAGTGCGTGTCAGTGTCTACGAAGCAGTGGCGGTTCTAGACCAATTTGACTGGGGGGGCCAGGCTGGGGCCAGTTATTTTCTGAGGGGGGCACAATAAATGCAGGACGAAAAAGACAAAGACAGTATGAAGTAATTGCGCATAAGAAAACAATGCAATACAGTTATTGGTATTTGTTTCATTACACATTATTATATGCTTACCTTTAACCTTTGTGTGCTGTTTGGGTCTGTGGGACCCGTTTTCAGTGTTTACTAGAAGAACATGTCTGCAATTTAATTATTTTAACCTGCTTTATTTGGGGGTGGACCTCACATCCTCTAGGGGGGTCCGGGGGCATGCACCCCGGGAAGATTTATTTTTTAAATGTTGAAGTGAAATGCATCAATCTGGTGCACTTTGAGCACAACATGAATTTATGGATACAGCTCTCAACACTCAGATGAAAGGGAGCTGTATACTTTTCAATAATCCAAACATCTTAAGAATAAACAAGTTTAAATGATTTGTGATCATATTCTAATCTTATGTTACCTAGTTAGCATTCTCTCTTTCTATTTATGCATATTTTACTAATCACTCTTCACACTTGGAATGATTTCTTACTTTATTTTGTACAACTATTCTCTCTCTCTCTCTCTCTCTCTCTCTCTCTCTCTCTCTCTCTCTCTCTCTCTCTCTCTCTCTCTCTCTCTCTCTGTAGTGGAAGTGTGAATAGCCCCCCCCGGCATGACCTGACTTCCAGCTTCTATAGCAATATTTTTCTGCTGACCCGTATACTACACATCCATAATTTAGTTCTGATCTTATCAAAGATGTATAAATATTCCTCAGCATACTCCTACTTGCTCCCCATTTAGACATGTAATTTTATTTAGAACCATCTTACATTTCTTATATATTTTATTCATATGTTCACTCCAGGTTATTTGTGTTTCTCTCTACATATTTATGCCATTTTCTCTTATCTTCTGCCTAGTTAATAGGACTACCTTTGTCTTCCCACTGCCCACCTAAATCCCCACGAGTATGACTATTTTTGAACCACCCTAATTGCTTCTTTTATCTTCCATTAAATCAGTAACATTTTCAAACCTTTTCCATGGTGATCATGGGCCAATAATGCTCTTCCATTCCATTCCATTCCATTCCATGTCACTTGTTAGACGCTTTATCCAAAGCGACTTACATACATTCAGTACTGTGGACAATCCCCACAGGAGCCATTTGGGGTGAAGTGTCTCAGGGACACAACGACATGCTGACTGTAGAGCAGGGGTCTCCAACCTTTCTTCATCTGAGAGCTACTTTCAAAAAATGAAAGTGGCCAAGAGCTACTTGCATCACATCGCTTACATTTATTCACATAGCCCTCATCAGTTGAATTAAGCTATACTTTTGTACACGTGTGAAATTGCAATACCTAAAGCTTATCAAAAATAAGGTCCAAGAAAACGAAGATTTCTCACATATTATTATGGCCCACATAATAAGTACATCACTGAACATTCACATAAGTGTCCTTAATCACCACCTTACAAGCATTTCACTCTTTTGTTAGTGAGATTAATGGCACTGCATACAGTCCACCATAGAGGTGTATGCTGGACCCACTTAGGTTCACTTAATAGAGTCATTTAAATGTTCATCAGTCGGTCTTGTTCTGTATTTAGATTTCATTCATGTCAGAAAAAGCTGCTTCACAAAGGTATGTAGAACAGAACCAAATAAAGCAGACATTTTCAGTGCTGCTTGGTGAATGTTCTTATAGTTTTCTGGGTCTACAAGGCTCCAGAAATGTTGTGAGTTTTGCTGAGACTTAAGCTGAACATTATTTTGGAGATCTCCACAGGATTGACACTGAACAGTTGTTCAGCCATCTTTTTCTTCTTCTTCTTCGTCTTGACATTAAATTATAAACCATAATAAATCAATTGTATAGGTCTAGCCTCCCTATATCTGTGTGTGAAAATGGTTCCATCCTCAAAAACAAAAAACTAATACTTCTGCAGTCTAGCTGCAGCTTCTAGCAACGGTCTTCTGTTAAAAAAAAGACACACATGACTTGAGTCTGAAAACAGCAGGAGTATTTACAATAGCATTATAAAAACAAAAATAGTGCATGTGGGTGCACACTTACATTCTCTGTCTTACTGTTACATAAATCCCATGAATGTATGAGATTAAGTTAGCTTCATCATATCTCAATCAGTGATTAAGTGAATAATAAAGTTTCTATCGGGTCACTATCAGCCTGTCACTCATTATTTTCAGGGAGGGGGCGGGGTTTGGAGGAACGGAGAGGAGACGGTGATCGCGGAAGCTTTCCTCCTGCCTTCACAAACTTTACACAAGTATTTATCAACTGAAAATAGCAAGAGGACATTCATACTCTGCAATCCAAGACTTGATTAAATTCACCAAAAACCTGACATGACGATAACGAGTGTTTTTCAAAAAACACAAATCCCTCCCTGTGTGTCTCTGAGGCGCAGCGACAGGGCCTGATTCAGAGCGGGTCATTCTGCTGTTAGTTCTGGACTCGTGCTGGTGGAGAAAGCAAACTGCTCCGTGTGTGTTGTCGCTGTGCTGCTGTCACGTCTGTTCCTTGATCTCTGCGTCACCGACCATTTGATATTCGTGTGACAGAAAAAAATCTAAAATAAAAAAACGTTATTGTCCAGCCGCGGCCGAAAAATCAATAAGCAACCTTACTACGCTATAATCGATAATCGAGCGGCGAGCTACTGAAAAGCTGCCCGCGAGCTACCGGTAGCTCGCGATCGACGTGTTGGAGAGCCCTGCTGTAGAGGGACTCGAACTTGCTTCCCCCTGATTAAAAGTTCAGCGCACAACCACTGAGCCACAGCCTCTTCCAACAGTATAGCTGAAATTTGTTACAGAATAGATCTGTAAGCATAATTGAAAATATGATACGCCTGAACCGCCCAGAGGAGTTCTACCTGATACCGAGACACTCCTGCTGTTCCTAACGCGAATGTTGCCATCTGTGTTTAGTACAGGAAGTACTAGCATAGCATAGGCATACTGAATCTTAATTTGATACACATTTTCCCTCAAATATTGTCTGTGAAAAAAGATTGTACAAGCGAGACAGCAGAATTGATTCTCGAGCTTTAAGCAACTGTTAAATTATAGAAATACTTTAATGTGGATACAATGCATTCTGTCCACTGTTCTCTGTTTGTCCTGGTTGTACAGTGTTTACTCTAATACCACAATTAAATACAAAGTTGAATATCTACAGAACATAATTACACAGCACTTTTTAAGAGTAACAACTACAGGAATAAACCCCCAGAACTACAGTTACTGTAATAATGTAAAAATAAAATGTTGGCAACTAGTGCCTTTATTACAGTGATAGATATGAAACTGGGAGACAGGGGGGATGGCAATGGCATACGGCAAATTGTCCCGAGACGGATTCGAATCCGGGACAAAACCCCAGTATATGGGCCTCCAGTTCTACCAACTGAGCTACAGTATACGGCGGGCCTAATGTTATATTTTTTATGGATATTGTCATTTTTGTTAGGGAAGGACATTGCAGTGTCTACATTTTCCAATGGCTGTTGTTAGAGGAAAATGAAAAGCTGTTACGTGGTTGTTTTGTTTGAGAATGTGTGCAAAGCCAATGCAGTGACACTCAATATTCCAAAATGATCTGTACAAATTATTTGCACGCTGATAAGTGTTAACTCATCATTTATCTCCGATGTGCCCTCTGAGGAGGTACTGTGGATATTGCACAGGTATTGTGAGGCTTATATAGCGTGTTAAAAAAAGAAACACACACAGTGGTTTAACCAAACATTGTTATTTTATTATCTTAAAAAGTAACACAATCCCAGTAGGGTATCACATACACTACAACAACGGTAACACCAGAACTACACATCAAAGGGACTTTCAGATAATATAGACATTTTTAAAAAATCCCTCTTTTTATTGTTTAAATTATTTGACTAGGCATGACAGATAAACATCATTTACAGGTATGACATACCGTCACCATTAGAAACAATGTTATTGTTGAACCGCCATTTTCATAAACCACCGCCGATGTTAAGGGAAGACATTTTATGGACTGTCAGTGTAGAAAAGGGATGGGGGGTTACAGGACTGTGTGGTTGATGGGGGGCCACTGGACCAGACAGTAGCAGGAGGACGTCGGGAGGGGCAGTGCACTCGTCAGACAGAAATGAAGGGAACCCATGACCCCCACCAGGCAGGGGACTATAGCCCTGTTCTCCTGGTGGAACCGGGACAAGAACCCAGTGTGGCTGTGGAACCGGAGCTGAACTCCTGAGCTGGGGCGTATACACATTATGGTTCACCAATGATTAGTGGTACATTAGGGTTTGGAAATAGAGTATTTGTAGGTAGTGGGCTCCTCTCAATGGAAAAAGTGGAACAGAGACTCCACCATGACTAACAGAACATCTTTCTGAAGTCACACAATAGATAGATTAGGGGATAAGATGGTATCATTGTGATTGGACCTGTTCTGCCTTTAATCAGCATCAGAAGCCTGTTGACATTGTAGGCCGTTGGCTATAATGCCAGAACAGAGAGCTGAGGCGTACTGACACCTGGGTGTTTTGGTCCCCAATTGGATTTTAGTACCTAGCACCCTGAGGGTGTAAAAACCATGAACAGCTATGGAGCAGACTGTAAATATCTTTCAATTGTAGAACAGAGGTTACAAAATTGATAGAACTGTGATCATATTTCAAGAACAGAAACATCAGTCCTTTGGGAAAGTCAGTAAACTTCAATGTAGGTGTTTGATCAGGAAACAGTAAACCTTTAAGATGGTACTCAGAACTCCCAGTGTGGAAATTGAGATCACTAAAAGAGGGGGGGGGGGGGGGTCAGACAACGTTGTAGTAAAGTTTGTTCCAGGCATACTAAACCGCTGATGGATACTAACAGATACACTTTGAGGGTCCCTTCCCCTGCAGCTCAGGTCTGGGGGTCCTGCAGACCGACAGAGTGTGTGCACATGGAGACGTGGAGTCCTCCTGTGTGCATCCTCACTGGATCTGATTTGTACTTCTTTGTGCCTCGTCACAGCGGTCTAGCTTGCATAGCTGTATGTCAGGACATATTGTTACATTGGTGAGAAGGCCAACACTTCTTGGGTCTACGTTCCTCTTTTAGGATCAGGACAGGGGGGGGGGGGGGATGCAGCTGAACCACAATGCTTTCATGTAACATAAGAAGAAATGTTGTTAGTGAAGAAAGGGAAACGATAGGGAGTCCAGCACTTTGATGTGTAGCATGTTAGTGTGTGTGTGTGTGTGTTTGCAGACATTCACAGGCTAGAGGCTGATGACAGTGTGTAGTAGAAAGGACGGGCTGTGTTTTTGCTGCTGTGGAGGTAGTTGTAGAGGAGCCAATATGACGAGATGACGGACAGCTCTCTGAGCCTATAGGAGGATGGGAAACAATTGACCCATAGGGCTGCAGAACTGGTTAAAATGAGACCATACATTTGGAATGTGGTCTCATTCCACCCCCCCCCCCATGCCATCGTCAGCGGAGCCCCAGCATCCTTCACTGTAATCCCAGGCCGGGTCACCCATGCTTTACAGAAGGGACGAAATGGCCATTGCCAAAGTATGCAGGTGAAACATATTATACACGTGAAAGCAACCCTTTACTATATTCCAACTCTCTCATCACCCTTTTTATTATGACTATTATCATGGTCGTCACTGACCATAATACATTTTAGCACCAGGAGTGAGAGTGGCTCAAGGATTTAATCCAAACAGTTTGAAGAAAACTCAAGTAGTCATGAACTTGATAGAAATGTAAATGAATGTAAACTAAAGAAATACTGAAATCAAAACAAAGTCACATCCCTGCTTGTTGTGTAGAATACTGGTCTGGATGAGTTTTGTGGATCTCATATTCTCTGTTGGACGCTCAGCCCCGCGAGTGCCACACAGCTGCTCCTTATCAACGTGTACTCCTGATGCAGAGAATCCAAATTTCACTTCATTTAAAATGTACTAACCAATTACTGGTCAGTGATATTTACTGCTTTAAAAAATCCCAACTCTTCCCAAACAGAAGCAACTCACTGTTAGCTTAGCAACGCTTAGCTGTGGAGCTGAGCAGGGATAATGCTGCTCCTCAGGTCCACTGGCTGCAGCCTCACACTTCCTCTCACTTCAACCAGATAGAAATAGAAGCAATGGTGGGAAACCAAACTAATTCTTTTCAAATGTTCTGTGTGCTCTTTGAGTCATACAAGTTGATCGAGTTCCTGCTCTGAGGTTTCCAGCCTCCGAGCTGCTGAAGAGTTCAGAAACCCTGAAGGCCTTACTCAGGTATTAGTGTAAACGTAGCTGCTCATTGACAACTGTTTGCCAATGTAATGAAAGTGAATAAATGTGAATAAACTCAATATAATAGCGTCTACTGACGTGTCAACGTTGGTCTATATCAGTTTAGATCAGCATGGATCAGTATAGGACCTCAGGAGCTTATATCTGAACACCGCTGCAAAGTGGCTCTATTAACAAAGAAATACTATAGTTTTGCCATATGTACATTAAGACAAAATAACAATATGCAGCATGTCGTTAATTATTAGATTCAGGTTCAATGTTAATAAATATAGGCATTTATACAATATATAAACTCGTTTACTTTGTGTAAGGTATGTATATTCTGAATATTCCTTTTTATTGATGTCATGGCAATTTTATTTAGTATTTCTTTCAAATAGTGTCTATTTGTTTTTCTCTATGCTGCTTTAACATGTACAGTTCTCCTCAGAAATGTATAAAGTATTCTCTACTGTGGCCCTGAGAGCTGTGCAGTACTTTGAGCTCTCTGGGCCACCGTACTTATCTGTTCTGATAGTGGCGGGAAAAGAGTGTGTGACCGGCGGCCCCTGTCCTGACAGAGCTGGAACAGGAAGAAGCTGCACCCAGTGGACATGAGGGCTAACATAACAGAGAAAGTGGAAGAAGATGTGTCCCCATCAAAGCCCAAACAGTGTGGAATCAACGTGTCCTCCCTGGAGCTGTCCATACATCGACAGCACTGCAGTGTTCAGGCAGTCACACGGGCATCATGGCATCCAACAGATACAAGACATGTTCAGCTTCAATGAGTTACAGTAAAAAAGCTTTTCTATCCCCTCACATTGTTGATGCACTTTGGAGCAGTGGTGGAGTATTCAGTGTCGTTTGTTGTGGCGCTGCACCTTGCAAAGTGTCTGCCAGTGGTGAGTTTAGAGAGGCGCTAACAGAGACAGGTGAGTCAGCTGGATCAGTGGTGTGTGTGTGTGTGTGTGTGTGTGTACCATCAGTAACAGTACGAGGAGCAGCGCCTCTTCAGTGTGTGACACCACGAGACACCACTAGAGGGAGATGCACTGATCTGGAGCAGCTGGAATGAGAGTGGATATAACATGACCTGAGATTACATATTATGCACGCACGCACACACACACACACACACACACACACACAAACACACACACACACACTAGTACCCACGTGAAAGTGAACGACACAACAGTAGTGTGTAAACTAAAGGCTGTATAATGACATGGTCAGAGTCTGCCAAGTGGCCTGGTGTGTGTTTGTGAGAAAGGAAAGAGCGAGAGCAGTTTCCTGTTGGCCTAAACCGCTCTGTTTGTGTCTGTCTGAATGTGTGTGTGTGTGTGTGTGTGTGTGTTAATAGCTGTAGTTCCACAGCGGGCCTGTGGCAGCACACTGGTTCAGTTCCGCAGTCTGTAGATGTAACAGTCCTTTGGGGGGGGGGGGGGGGGGGGGGGGGGTCCCAGTGCTGCACCCAGCCTCAGTCCTGCTCCTAGACACTGGTGATTGATGCAAGGCAGGCGCTAGGCTTCTGGAGTTTCTCCGGTTGGGTGCCTGCAGGTTCTGGGATGGCGCGGAAGGAGAAGGGGGGGCCCGTGCCGGTGGCGATGCCGAGGTGTCCCGGGCTCAGAGCCAGGTTCTGCCGACGACTGCTCTCCACTATGGAGGAGGTGTTGGAGGCCAGGCTCTCCCTGGTCCTGCAGGGACACACACACACACACACACACACAATGAGACGCTGTAACATCACTGCTGCAGGGACACACACACAATGAGACGCTGTAACATCACTGCTGCAGGGACAGAGACACAATGAGACGCTGTAACATCACTGCTGCAGGGACACACACACAATGAGACGCTGTAACATCACTGCTGCAGGGACAGAGACACAATGAGACGCTGTAACATCACTGCTGCAGACACACACACACAATGAGACGCTGTAACATCACTGCTGCAGACACACACACACACACACACACACACACACACAATGAGACGCTGAAACATCACTGCTGCAGGGACAGAGACACAATGAGACGCTGTAACATCACTGCTGCAGACACACACACACACACAATGAGACGCTGTAACATCACAGCTGCAGGGACACACACACACACACACACAATGAGACGCTGTAACATCACAGCTGCAGGGACACACACACACACACACACACACACAATGAGATGCTGTAACATCACAGCTGCAGGGACACACACACACACACAATGAGACGCTGTAACATCACAGCTGCAGACACACACACACACACACACACACACACAATGAGACGCTGTAACATCACAGCTGCAGACACACACACACACACACACAATGAGACGCTGTAACATCACTGCTGCAGGGACAGAGACACAATGAGACGCTGTAACATCACTGCTGCAGACACACACACACACACACACACAATGAGACGCTGTAACATCACAGCTGCAGACACACACACACACACAATGAGACGCTGTAACATCACAGCTGCAGACACACACACACACACACACACACACACACACACACACACACACAATGAGACGCTGTGACATCACTGCTGCAGGGACAGAGACCCAATGAGACGCTGTAACATCACTGCTGCAGGGACAGAGACACAATGAGACGCTGTGACATCACTGCCGCAGGGACAGAGACACAATGAGACGCTGTAACATCACTGCTGCAGGGACAGAGACACAATGAGACGCTGTGACATCACTGCTGCAGGGACAGAGACACAATGAGACGCTGTAACATCACTGCTGCAGGGACAGAGACACAATGAGACGCTGTGACATCACTGCTGCAGGGACAGAGACACAATGAGACGCTGTAACATCACTGCTGCAGGGACAGAGACACAATGAGACGCTGTAACATCACTGCTGCAGGGACAGAGACACAATGAGACACTGTAACATCACTGCTGCAGGGACACACACACAATGAGACGCTGTAACATCACTGCTGCAGGGACAGAGACACAATGAGACCAGAGTTCCCGTTAGCCGGTAATTACCGGACTATGACCGGTAAAATATGCTGAAGACCGGCAAATCTAAATCTCTCCGGTCAAAATGTCCGGTCAAAATAATTTCCCTTTAGCGCAATACCGCTTCAGTTGCGCCACTTATGTGACAGACAAGAATAGTATGTGACAGACAAGAATAGTCAATTCTAATGTCTAACACTTAATGTGGAGAAAGAGATGTCCTGTATGGGTTGATTGTGCGTTGATCTGTTGGTAATGCCTCAGGGTTCCGGTGGGCATGTAAACAAATGCATAATGCTGCGCTATACTTTGTGGCCTCACCCGGTTGCATAGCGACACTTATTGTTTAGGTGTCTTGATAAGCAGGTAGTCATATCATTAGCTAGAACCAGCTAGATCGGATCGATATGGACATAAACGCGAGTGAAGTCTAATCTGACGAGAGAGAGATCAGCTGCTGCTAATGAGTCGACACGCAGCTCTGCATGATCCCCTGCAGCGGTGAGCGGAACAAAACACACACTTCAGGTTAGAATATCACACGTAGCTATTTTAATTACCTCTCAAACTACCTAAACTAGATATGTTTAGTTTTACTGTCGGGTCACTCATTACTGGATCCGCGAGCTGCATGATACTGGCGGGCTGTCAGGAGAGGGAGAGAGCGCTCCGTTTATTATTCCCGTGTTATTGTAAGTTACTGTACACTTTTGAATAATGTAGTTAATCTACTATAATTAGTTTGTTTAATATCGAATCATATCAATTTGTTTTAAAGCTCAATAAATAACAAAGAAGACCTTTAACCGGCACTTTTCTACTTTTGCCCGGAAGATTTCAACTTTAACGGACATTTTGACCGGCGAAAAAATATTCTAACGGGAACTCTGAATGAGACGCTGTAACATCACTGCTGCAGGGACAGAGACACAATGAGACGCTGCAGCCAGGCTTGGAATTTAGTCATTTTAGGGGCAAGGCCATTTGGCCTTTGGTGTCACCATTTTTGTTAGGGCACGAAGGCCACATGCCAGGGCACAAAGGCCATTGAGGGAAACATTTGGATTTGGAGCTTACAAATAAATAACTTCCCTTTCTGATAAGAAAAACACACGAATGACATGGAAAACAAATCACTTTTTCAATGTCAAACATTATAATCATATAGGCCTACGCCTCCTTAGTATTACCGTATATAAAATAAAATAAAATACTCTACTTTGAATAATTAGTGTTTGGTATGTTTTCTACTACTTCTCCCATTCACAAATCCGAAAACAAATCTAAAAATCTAAAATTCTATTAATATGTAATAAATATATTCCATTTCAGAGCAGAAGAAACAGCCTTCAAGGGTCAAACTCTGCACATACATCATTCAGCAGTGCACAGTGAAGCTCAAACAATCAACTGTATGAACAAGCAATACTTTAAAATGCAAAAGTCTGTGTGTGTGTGTGTGTGTGTGTGTGTGTGTGTGTGTGTGTGTGTACGAGAGTCTCTTTAATAACAATGTTCAACCCAAGCCTCAAATTCGCGTGACGCGTTCTCGCGGTAGCCAATCAGCAGTGAGGATCTCAGCCACTGACGTTGAATCAGAAAACGAAAACTGCTGTCGTTAGCTGTTAGCACACAGAGCTCACAGCTCCTCATATCTGTTCAGAAACTGGACAAAAGTTAAACAAGTACAAACCACAGACTGTCTGTGTCATGGTGAATACAGTCGCTGTTGTGTCTGTGTCTGTATCATGTTATTGTGAGTGTGGACGGAGCATATACAGGTTAATTTAGCCTGATCGATCCGATCTCCATTCAGAAAACACGCATTTTAAAAGGTTGTCAAAAGCATTAATTCATGGTTTTTACTAACCATTATCAGTATTTTGTTTATTCTGCATCATTTTTAAACGTGTATTACAATGAAATCACGGTAAAATATGTTAATTTTGTTGTAGTTGAGTCTACCACAGTATTTACATGGAGATAAGCCCCGCCCTCTCCAGCGCATCCTGTTTGAATGACAGGAGTAAACACAGCTGACAGCCGACTCTTACGCTTTTAAAGCAACTTCGAGATTTTAACAGTGTGAGGGGCACAAAGGCCATGGTGGCCGTAGGACGTACAATTATTTGTGGGGCCTCACGGCCTGACTGAGGGGCAACGACGGCCATGGCCGCCGTGAAAATCCTACCCTGGCTGCAGCACAGCACTACATCAGGGTCACTCACATTAACGGAATATAATGCACTTTTCAGGCATTCTGTATTGCTTTCAAATATTTATTCTACCAAAGTCCAAACTTCACGCATTTATTGTTACACCGCTGAGTCAAGACTTACTCTGCCTTGCTCTTTCATGTACTCTGTTTGTGTAATTAACGTATTTAATGCCCAACAACGAGAGTGTAACACATCCGTCCTTTAAACACTACCAGGTTGATATGACTGTGTGTGGTCCTGTGATCAGTACCCCTATGCTCTAGCAGGGTTGTCCAAACTTTTTTCACAGAGGGCCACTTACAGAGAAATATACGAAGGTATACACTAGAGGTATATTGCCTCATAAGTTATAAGTTAGAAAGATCAATCAAATGTAGGTAAATTATGATTGATATTGATGAAAAAAACACACAGCTCTCCGTAGGGTTTCATTTATTGTGTAGGCAGCTCATTCCTTAAAACAGGAGGCTCAGATTGCTTATAATAAGAGGAAATATGAAGGGTATATTTCAAGGTTGTTATGTAAATGTGTTATTGGGATTTTTCTCATCAACTAAGATTTGTTAGAAAATGTTTTCAACTTTAATTGACTGAATTTATTTGAAATTTGGGCTTATTAACACATGAATACTGTGTTATATATTTGAACATATATATTTAAGCACGACCAATCATTTTAGCCGGCCCGGCTAAAATAACTGGATGGCCTAGCTGCCTGTCAGCCTTCCATCTGTGCACAAACTTATCTCGTGCCCTCATTGGTCATGTGCACGTTCGTGTGTGTTGGAGGAGAGGCTCTGTAAGGAAGTGGCAGATTTTCTCCGGTTGTGTATTTTCAAATTCTAGCGCACTCGAGCTGGTTTCTCCAAAATTACCTACCCTACCTTTAAGCGTAATTTAGCTTAACTTCCCGTTTTATTTAGACATACTTTTATTTTGAAGGCGACTTTGCGCTATTAACAGGAAGTTACTGTGCCCAAAGCAAAAACTTGACGGAGATAAAGTACAGACATTAACGGAGATATCAACATTTAAATACGGCGATATCAAAACATAAAGTTTACATTTAAGTATTAGGACCCACCGAAGAGGCACGAGGTTAGTGTTAACTGTAATATAAAAATGTGGTTTGTTTCTTAAATCGTTTATATACTGTATTATAACTTGTTTAATTAATGTTACGCTAAAGTAATGCTAACATGGATGTAGCTTAAATGTATTTGTTGTTTTGTTTCTTTGTATAGCTCTTACGTTGGTTTTTGGAGTTTTCAATACATTTGAAATCATCAGTAGGGATATGCTACAGTTTATATAATAAAATATCGATACTTGGCGTCCGTGTATCGATACAATATCGCCACGCAAAGTATCGCAATACTATGCTGTATCGATTATTTCCCCCACCCCTACTGTCCACAAGTCATTCACCCATTTGGATTCTCAGGGCCGACTTTTTCACAGACCAAAATATCATGTAATTAATAAGATTCGACAAAATAAATAGTAACCGACCACTGGTTAACAACTACATAAATGTATTCATTGCATGTGTACAAATAATTCAATTGTACCGTGTCATATCTGTCTTATTTCAGATAGATTGACCCAGATTCTGTGTGTTGAAAAACGGCTTACAATACTGACTGCACAAAGTAAGACATGCTTAATTCATGCAAAATGATCATTACTGTGTGCCATTAGTTCTAAAAAATATTCAGCTGATGGCTAAACTTAAGAAAAATGAATGAAATTATTTGTAGTAATGGAAAACGAGAGTGTAAGATCTGCCTAAATTGTACGGGGCACAGAAAGGAAAGTGTGAGTGTGTATGCAGTGTGTCTGTGCTGCTGTTACCGTGGTGAGTTGAATCCACTGTCCACAGTGACGGAGCTGGAGTCCATGCTGTCCAGTCGAGCAGAGTGGGCCGACTGCTGGTTCTGACTGGGCTCTGGAAGGGTTTCTTTAACACCAGGGAAGGTGAGAGTTCTTTCAAACCTCCTTTGTAGATCCCGCTCCTTCTCCCTCTCCAACAGCCACTGCATTGTCCCTGCCCCCCCGCCTCCCATCCCAGCAACACCCCCTCCAGCATTCTCGGCCCCTCCTCGACTTTTAGTCCCACCCTCCTCTAGTTCATCATCATCTGAGACATTGTAGTAGTCAAAGGAGGCCTCTGCAGCACTGGTAGTGGGTTCAATCCCCTGTGGGGGGGCGGACGGTGTGGCCACCAGAGGCTTGGGGGCATCATAGGCCTCCTGGGAATCCAGAGCATCGCAGGACGAGGACAAAGTAGAGGAGGCGAGGGCCGGGGCTTTTCTAAGGGAGCTGTAGCCAGGCAGGGGGAGGCTGGGAGGGGGTTTGAAGAGTGTGTCTTTACTAAAGATTTCCTTACGTTTCTCCTGACCCGAGGAGGCACTGTGGGGAGGTCTGCCATTAGGAAGAGGGGGGTCAGGGAGGGAGAGGGGTATTGGAGGCAGACTGCCACCCTTAGGACCCAACTTTGACAAGTCCTCCTTATTTTCGAGGGGATGGGGTGTCTGTCTGTCAGCGCTGCCTAGCTTCAGTCCATCATGGCTGCTCCTGCCCAGGGTCCCCAGGGAGTTTGCTGCTATGAGAGCCGTCTCCGAGGACCCTGAGCACTGGAAGTAATCGTCGGGTGGGAGGGCGCAGAGCAGGGGTTTGGGTGAGTATGCAGGCAGGGTGTCCCTGCTCTTACTCTTCTCTAAACTCCTGCCACCATCCAACCCCAGAGAATCTGCAGGCAGTTTATTCGAGGGGGGGGTGGCACGAGAGTAGTGAGAAGTGCTCTGATTGGCTCGCAGTGTGCCATCGTCAGTATAGTACCGGCTCCGCTCGTCGTAATAATCAGGTGGGCCAATCAACCCTGCTCCAAGAGGTCCTTTAGAATTGTCCATGGACCTGGAGCGCTCCTTGGCCTTGTCACTGCGCTCGTTTCTCGATTTCCTCTCCTGGGTGTGGGAGTGGGAGCGGTGGACTTTGGAGTGGTGGGCTGATGGACCGTGGCTCGGCTCTGGGAAAGGCATCTCTGTGCGCCGCTTGGCAAGTTCCCCGGACACATCCCACTCTGGTGTAACAGGCAGGTGGGAGGACTCCAGGATGTTGGGGTTGCTGTGTGCCAGGTGGAGGCGGGCTCGCTGCCGATCCATGGCCAGGGCGTGTTCCCTAGGTGATCGAGCCAGCGAGGACGAGTAGGCTCTGTAGTCCCGGTCCAGCTCCAGGTCGCTCGGCTCGCCGCGGGACGCCCTCGTCTTGCTATGTGAGCGACTGAGTTTGGTCTGAGACTGCTTCCTGTGTCTCCCCCCACTTCTCCTACTCCTTGAGCTCTGATTGGCTGACGACGCTTTGCTCCTTTGAGCACGCTCTTCCTCGAGGCGCTTCATGACGGCTGTGTGCCGGGCGAGGTTCTCCACCGTGAGGTCAGGGTTGATTCTGCGGATGATCTCCATCTCCACATGGCGGGGCAGCTGGCTGGGCGTCTCCTCGTCCCGCAGCGGCCACTCTTCAGGCGGGAACTGTGCAGAGAAGGTGGCCAGCTGCTTGGTCTTGTCCTTTTTAAAGCTTAGACGGAACAGCTTCAAACCAAATTTCCGACTTCCTGTCCCACTTCCTCCACCTGCTGGTTTTTCTATCTCTCCCCCTCCTCCTCCCCCTCCCCCACTTCGGTGCTTTGTGAGCGTGTCCGTCTTGAAGGGGAACCCAAGGGTGCTGCGACTCTTTTCTGCGTTGCTTCCTGCTGGCTGAGGAGGGGTATGCGGGGAATGCGGAGACGAGTACGCTTCCCGGTGGTCTTTGGGAGATCGACGCTGCAGGGTGGTGTGGTGGCTAGGGGGGTCGTCTCCACGGTAACTGTTGTTGTAAAAAGGATCCCCAACTCCACCCCCACTGTGGTTCTGGCTGGACTTTGGGTGTGTTCGTTCTCGTACGGCTCCAGAGGTGGAGGGCGTGATGGTGCCAGAGAGGGGGGAGGTGCACTGTGTCTGCTGATGCTGCTGGTTCTGGTGCTGCTGCTGCTGGTTCTGGTGCTGCTGCTGCTGCTGTTGGTGGCGGTCAGCGGATCGCTCGTCTAAGTGGTACCACTTGGAACTGGTTCGGATTAGGCTCGGTGTGATGAAGTACGTCTGGGGGGTTACGATAAAATATCCATCGGGGGTTGGGTAGATCTTCCGCTCACGGACCAGCATGCTTAGCGTGTGGTGCAGAACCTCCTCTGTTGGTGTGGGAACACCTGGGCAAAATGAGAGACAGGAAGCTGTTAGAGCAGGTCCACATCATCTGTTATTATGGTGAGCTCAGGAAAACATCATTCAGGAGGTTTTCATGAGAAAAGCCAATTTTTGTTTTTATATGAAAACATTGTCACACCTATACAGTCAAAGTAACTCAACATGTGCTCATAATGCTAAGCTCAAGTGACAAAAGTGATGAAACCATATCCAAACTTCTCTTCATCTAGCCTGGGCTCTCTGGAAGACCCTTGTGCTTTCTTTTTAAATAAGTTTTTTCCTGCATAGAATATATAGAAAACATATATAATATACCACATACATTTGGAATTCTTATTAGTGGAGCAACAATCAACTTATTAAGAAGTACTTGAAACATATCAGTTCACAAAGACCACAGGAGAGTTGTTTCTAAGTTCCAGCAGTAAGACCGATTGAGGCCTAAATGGCTGTTTCTGACTGATGTGTACATCCACTGAACTGTACAAATCTGACACCAAAGAACACGTCCCGACGGAACGTCGCCTCACGTCTCCTGCGTCTTGGCCATGTTTCGCACTGGAACACACCGCAGACTTCAGCCGACGGCCAAGTAGCATGTACGAACTGCGCATGCGTGAGTGGCAATAACTCTCCTTACCAGCAGTAGTGTGTATTCGTCATTCAAAAGAGGCAACAACCGGAAGACAGACTGCGTGATACACCGAGAGAAGAAGAACAGACTGCGTGATATAAACAAACAACAAATAGCGTGTGCGTTCCATTTTCACTCTACAGCGAGAAGCTCATGGGGCTTTCCCCAACCTGTGTCGAGAGCTGGAGTTCAATGAAATCTCAGATTTGCCTTCTTAATAGTTTGTTTGGGTCCCTCACTTCCGTTTCGCTTCTCATGCACTGATTCGCTAGCTGAACAGCCAATCAGAGTGATTTCTTTGGCCGGCGGCCTCCCGATTCAACAAGTCGAATCGGTGGCGGAAGGTGTCGGCACGGCGAAAAGACACGACGGTGCAGTACACACCAATCTGAGTAGGGCGACACAACGCTCATCGACGGCCCGACATCTATCGACATCTATCAACGCCGATAATCGGCTTGGTGTGTAACAGCTTTAAGAGACTAAGACTGCAAACAAAGGTCTTGATGTACAGCCACTTTTTCCACAATAAAGTTCCTCAGGCTGGAATATTTGGAATCTGCCGTCCTCTTCCTCTAACAGTGGGTGCATCCACTTCACTTTACAAATGTCCAGATTTTGCTTTATACCTCCTCCTATCTCCTGTCCCTCCTGCTCTCCCCTTTCTCTTTCCTCCAATAACCTTCCTCTCCCTTTGTCTCTCTTCTCAGTATCTCCTGCTCTCTTCCCCTGTCAGTCCCGAGGTATTACTGCCAGTTACATCATAGCAGCCTTTCAGCCTGGCAGAGTGATGCAACGCGGGACAGACAGACATACTGCACCCTGCTCCTCCGTCCCCTTCCTCTCCATCTTGTACATGAGAAGCCTGAGCAGAGGAAAAGGAGGTGGAAGCAGGCTGTGTGTACTGGAGTTAGAACAGGCTAACCTTTACATGCCAACACTCACATAATAACACATCAAAACATATGGCATTATAGAGATCCCTCTCTGGCATCAGGGGACCACCAGTCATCGCCTTTTAAAGAGGAGACTGAGTTGAAAGTGAACGTTTTTTTAGGGCGGCAGGCTTTGATGGAGCGATGGAATTACAACTTTTGTGTCAAAAGGGCCGAAAAAACGATTTTCCATTGGGAAATAGATGTCTGTAAATCAGAGTATCTTCCCAGTATGAACATTTCAGTAGCCCTTATTTACTCATTTGGGCCAGAAAGATGCACTCATCAGAATCAGAGTTCCTTTATTTGTATTTATAAAATGTCAATCTCATTCGCTCTATTCATTCCCCTGACTAAAAAACCCTAATGATAACAAATGCTTTAACTTAACAAATAGTCTCATATTCCTCCATTTGAGATGATGACATGATAGTATGTATACATTCTTATTTCCTACAGAAAACAATGTTGATGTTATATGTCAGTTTATAGGTTCCAGCTTCTACCCTTTTAAAAAAAGAACAATAATTGAACATGTTGTAATGTTATTTACTCTACTTCATAGCTTCTGACGTCAACAACCACATTAGCTCTCCTGCTAAAGCCTCTTTTTGATATCATTTACCAAAACAAACAATAGTATTTTAGTGCACCAAGAAAATATTCAATGGGAGAAATGTAGTTAGCAGGCTGAACAATACACTGCACATATACATTTTCTGCAAAAATAACGTTGGTCAGTTTATCTCACAACACAGAAGCTGCTCATCCACGAATGAACAATGCGTCTTACATGACAAGACTTTATTTCTGATTAAATTCATAAAAAATACGTTTATTCACTCATCAAAGACACTGATAAAGCAAAGAGCACAGATTTAATGAAATTAACATTTTATAAATGCATGGACATACTGACTGACAGCAAATTGAGCTTTGTCAAACAGTAACGTTACACATTTGACTTTAGTTTTTATGTGTTCAAAAGAAGGCTGTTAAATATAGAATGAGTACTTTTACTTTTGGTACTTTAAGTATATTTTGATTCTTCTACTTTTGTACTTTTACTTGAGTACAATTTGTATTGCAGGACTTTTCCTACACTCTGGTACTTCTACTTTTACTCAAGTACAAGATCTGAGTATTGCTCCCATCTCTGCAAGACACATGAGCCACTGAAAAAGTATTTGGGATGGTTTCCCCCATCCATTGACACTGACAATGATCCATCACCATCCTATTGATATGAAATCCTGTTCGACTAATTATCCAATAAGAATGGATCACCTCTCGTAGGTATGTTTCTGCTCTTTTCTTTGTTCTCTAATGATATCATATCAGTGAGCTCCAAAGCTTTCGTTGCCCTTCCCTACTAAAGACATCTATCCTCTCTTAAAACTAAACTAACTGTAGACATAGGGAGTTTATTTATGAAACATGATGTCCATGATGTCCTACCCTGTTCCTTAGTCAAAGTGTCTCTCAGTAATAAGTGTGAGTATCTCTATCTCTTGAATATCTCTTAAAGGTCCCATGTCATGCTTTTCCGGTTATTACCCGTCCCCTTGTGTGTTATGAAGGTTTTTATGCATGTAAACGGTGTGCAGAGTCAAAAACCCTCAAAGTACACCCTGTAGGGAGTAAAACTCTAACACAGAAAATACTTCCCCAAAACGCCTCGTTGGAGATTTCTCATTTTCCAATGTTTTCTTTCTGGGTATCGCTATGTAGGGATACCCAGTAGCCACGCCCAGAGCTATGGCCGCACCCTCTGCCAGCCGAACATATATACTGTTGGAAGCTCAGGTTCAGTTCAAAACTGTATCCAGTCATGCCAATGAGGGTCTGTTTCCTGTCTTGTGAGGGGAAATCTTCAATGTATGCCTTACCGAGGGCAGAACCACGACGAAGTCAGTGGTTGACATTTCTTGTTAACACTGTTCCTTCAGATGTTCGAGCCGGTATTGTACTGTGTGCACGGCATTTCACGGACCAAAGCTTCGCAAACATTGCAGCGATTCATGTCGGATATGCACAGCGTAGGACACTGAAGGACGATGCTGTTCCTACTTTGTTTGGACCAGCGGGAGATTTGGGTACACAACCTGTAAGTACGCATTGTTGTTTGTGTATTTATGATGTTTAAAACAAACAAGGTATCTACCACGACTGTTTAAATGGGTAAACGTTTTTGGGGCTGCTAAGCCATTGACACAGTGCTAACTGGGCTAACTAAGTTGCTAGCGTTTCCATATATCAACTCCAATGTCAGCAGATGGCCTTACATGTATCTCATAGCTGGAGAATGTCTGAATTCACACACAAAATACTCATAGAGTCTATGAGTATTTCGTGTGTGAATGCAGACATTCTCCTGCTATGAGATACATGTAACAATGTTTTCCCTAGCATGTCTAGCTCTTGGTAGCCTTCTTGTTTAGCTAGCATGCTAGGGAAAACATTGTTTTTATGCCAGCTACAATGAATGACCGAACGTAGCAGACTACCCGTATAAGATTGCAATTGTAAACATGTTCTTGCTAGCCTAATATGAACCACTAGTTGTTCATAGTAGGTTGGCATATTACACTGAACTAGCAAACGTAGGTTAGCATATTAATCTAGCTGGCAAGCTAACGAACCTAAAACAACTAAGTTTCTCTAATATTTTGTGATTTGCATTTGATTTCGTCCAGCCAGATCAGGAAACTCCTGGCGTATCTGGCGGACAACACATGACGGGATGACCACTCGTCCTGCCTCGTCCTAAGAAGCCCCAGCACCAGCTTACAAAGCTGCGATAGGCAAGATGCCGAAAACGCCTATAAGGGGAGGAATGGATGATATACCGTGTATATATGTATATTTACACATGTTCATTTTGTACATTTCTAAAAATAAAGTTTGATGGAAATACTTAGTAGCCTTTCTTCCCTGAATTATTTGCTCCTATAACACAGGGTTGCCAACTTTGGGTACCTGGCTGGAGTGAGATTTTGATATCATGGGTTTAATTCGGTTTAATTACACATATGCGCACGAAATGACTGCTATCGTGTCAGCAGTGGGACCTTAGCATATATATAGGATATATATACAATATATACAAATACACAATAATGGACACAGACTATAAAGGGCACACAGTTTCATTCACTAATGAAAGTCAAACATGTTTGTTTCCACTGTTTTATTGTGTGCCTGTCGTGATAAGCAATTAATTGACTTATCGTACGATAAATAAAAATGAACTCGATAACTTTCTGACCTCGATAAATTGCCATTTACATGAGGATGTGACTAGCAGTTTGAAAGGATGTACTTGAATTATTATTATATATTATCATTATGTCAGTGGTCTAAAATGGTCATACAACGGTGCCGACAATATTATCGTTTATCGCAATAATTTCCGGGAAAATGTATCCAACAA